GGGGGGGGGGGGGGGGGGGGGGGGGGGGGGGGGGGGGCGGGGGGACAGATCCGCAGCCCCGCTTCCTCCTCACCCTGGAGCCCGTGCCACCAGGGCCGCCGGCGGGGACAGGGTGCCCCCTGCAGGCTGCCGCGGACGGAGCTCCCGGCCACCAAAACGAGGTTTCCGGCGCTGAGGCAGAGGCGAGGACCCGCGCAGCCCTCACATAGACCGCATGTGTCCGGTCTCACGGAACTCACCGAGCCCCCATCTCTGGTGTTTCTGGACACCTGGCTTTGAAGCATAAAACCAAACGGAGGGTCTGGGCTCGGGACTGCACTCCTCTGGCTGGTCACGAGGCTGCACCAGGAGAGCAGACCAGCACCCTGAAGTCATCCTGTGCTTATGCGGCAAGAGCCACCACCACAAAGCTCTGTGGTCCCTCCCCGAAGTGTCCGGGTTCACCTGGTTCATTCGCACAGACTTCTCTAATTCAGGGGAACAGCTTTCTCTCCCTCAGTTCTGCTTCAAGCCCCCCGGCCTGGAAGGTACCAGGCACGGGTGGCACTCACCTCTGCAGCCGCTGCACGAGCTGGGCCACCATGGTGTCCGAGATGCCGGGGCAGGCCTCCTCCGCCAGGTAGATGGCCCCGCGCAGCTCCTCGATGGACCGCGGGCCGCCCCCACACGCCTGGCTCTTCTCCTTCAACTGAAAACGCCAGAGCCGGGAACGGCGTGACTCACCGGAGCACGGGAAGCCACGGGCGTCTGTTTAAGGAGCGACACGACCCAACTGCCCCGGCCACAGGGTCAGCTCGGATCCCTCCCCTCCTGGAGGCTAAGAGCACCAGGCACAGGCTGGGCCTGAGCCCCACCCCAGTCTCTACCCTTCCCCGGGAAGGAAACACGCCGGCTTCTGCGTGCCTTTTCCGAATGATTGTGGCATCTGCTCCCACTGCTTTCTTTTTCCATTTCAACCCTAATCTTCCACCAGCAAAGCCATTTCACGCCCACCTGGCTCTGGTGTGCGCTCCGAAGCTGTGGTGCGGGCCACACACGCACGCAGAGCTCCCCCGGTTACTAGGCTGGTGCTGAGGCCTGCGGACAGACTGCCGTCGTGGGCAGGGTGCTGCCGAAATACTCCATCTCATGTAAACAGGCAACAGCCCTAAACCCTGGGAAGCCGATGTCCCCTCGGCACCTCTGCGCCCACACCGGTGTCTGCAGGCACCTCCCACAGTTTAAGGTCAACTCCCATCTTTCCGGGATGCGCCCCAGGTGCGCCAGGAGGAGGGGGAGCTGCTCGGCGCGCGACCCAGAGCCTCCAGCAGCTTCTCGGGCTGCTGGGACCACACGCCGCCACCCCGGCTTCAGGCTCCCTCTACGTCCGTGGCTTCTCCCCTCCTAGCTACAGGGACAGACAGAGGGACAGGACGGGCCTGGCGCTGAGGCCGGAGTGCCTGTGCCTGTTCCACTGTATCAGCGACCGCAACAGTCAGCCTGGAGGCGGCGCTTCTGTCCATCTGGGACCCCCCGGCCCCTTAACGACTAAACACAACCGGACTTACAAGCCCCGAGTGGGCCGCCCGCCACCCGACCTCCCTCCCACTCCCCCACCCCACCCACCACCCCACCCGCTGCTGCCCGCGGCTGCCGGAAGCGCCCCGTCACCACCACTGGAGGGAGCCCCTGGCCCATACTGAGGGATGCCCGGGACCGTCCTCATTTGTAACATGGGGAGACGCTACTTAAGGAGCGAGATTGCGGAGTATTATGCAAATAATGCACACTGGACACTCTGAACGTGAGGTCACCAAACATTAATAACAAAAACATACACGAAAAGACGCCTGGGAGGTTACCTTTAGGGCAGCTGAACAAAATCAAAACATTAGTACATTTAGGATTAGTTCATTAATTCTGGATAATGCCTTCGGAATGGATTTTTTTTCATGTGCCCAATAAGAAACAGACAGCTTCAGACAAATGAGAAAATCTATGCCCTTTTCCCCAGTTGCCCAACTATCCTAGTAATATGCAGTCAGGGTCGCGGGAAAGCAGGGGAGCATCTGGAAAACCTGACGGGCCAATTGCCCAAAGAACCTAACAAAGAGCAAACAGGGTCCAACAGGCGTCGCAGGCCAAGGCCTCAGGCAAAAAGCGACACAGAGGGGCCTCTGCCTGCCCTGTTGCTGTTCACTTTTCCACCTGAACCCACAGTGTTCAGTGGTTTCAACCTGTCCCTTGGGCACACTGGTGAGACAGATCTGGGTCGGGGAAGGCCTGGGAGACTGAGGCCAGCCAGGAGCTCCGCCAAGGGGGAGGCACCGTGCGACTGGCGTTCAGGCCAAGCAGGGGACAGGGATGCGCCCATGGGTGGCACTTCCTTCCCACCCTGGGCCACCCACCTCAAGTCCAAGGTCCCCTGCTACAGCCTCCCTGGAGAGCTCTGGATCACCAGCCAAAGAGAAGGTACTAGGTGACTCACTGAATTACCTTAAAGGCAGCCTGAGCCAGGAAGGGGCACAAGAAAGTGACAGGAAGGGGTTATTTCCAACTTATCCTCCAATCAGCTCCTAACCAGATGAACAACGTTCACCCTCATAAAACCCACCCTTGAAACACCTCCAAATGTTGTACGTATACACATACCTACAGGGGGCAGGGTCCCCTGAAAGGGCACAGGGAGGGGCCCATGTTTGCAGTGGCCGCTCACCAGCAATCAGGGGCCCTGCTGGGTGAAGCCACTACTCTGGGGGCTCCACAGGAATCTCGAGGACCCCAGGGAATCTGATGTCTCCTTAAAGTAAAAATCTGTTTTTCACATTGCCATACGTAAGTCTGTCGAGGCAAAGATGTTAGGCTGCACCCAACTAGATTTTGTAGAAAGCAGCACAACTGAAGTTAAAAATTGCCCCAGTAACATACGGACTGGGGCTGGGTTGCTGACATCCCACGTGTACGCTCCTGGCAGCAACACAGCGACAGTTCCCAGGAGGGCCTGGATGGAAGACGGCCCCCGGGAAAGCAAGAGGCGTTCCTGGAAGGCAGGGGCCCGTCCATCCCAGCTGGCCTCCCAGAGCCAGCCAGTCTAATGCCCCAAAGTTCATGGGCAGCCCTGCCACAGACGGGGCAACTGCTCCCCCTTCTTCCCCTCGCACCTCCCCAAAAGTCAACTGGGCACCTTACCTCTGCAAACAGTGGAGAAATAATTGTAGATAAACACTGAGAGAAAGGCCTCTTTGGGATGTCTTTCATCTTGGGGGGCGGGGTGGGGAGGAAAGAGTAATGAGAAATATTTAATACTCACATTTGCAATAATTCAGTGAACGTCAGATACACGTCTGCTGTAGCATCTGCATAGGACTGTCCTACTGTGTTTTCACTGGACTACGGAGGACTACAGATACCATGCCCGGTGGAGAGGCACCAGAGCGCCAGGAAGCGGCACCCTGCGTGGACACAGGCGATGCTGAATTGCACCGCTGAGCCACGTATGGAGAGGACCTGACTGATGAGGCCTGGAAATGGCATGCACATCAGAGCTGGCTGCTGGAAGTGGCTGTCCTATGACAGTGCTGCCTTTTGTTTCTTCTGCAGCCTCTATCTGAACACATAGTGACTCCTATCTGCTTCTCAAAGCAGGATTTGTAGGGTCACCAGGGGACAGCCACTGGTCTGCACTTGCTGCAGAGAAACTACACCACTGTGCTTCAAAACGATCCTAAAACTACAGCTTTTTATTAACTTAAACAGGCATAAAACCAATTCATCAAAATTAAGTACATAGGTACCAAAAGCAATATATTTATTTTTAAGATTCCTTAAACAAAACTCAATCCCCAATTACGGTACCTTGATGAGTAACACCAATATGCAACACAGGCCTAGTCTCATCAAGAGAGCTGGAAAGTCATTTCAAACGCTAAACCCACCTCCCCACTACCCCGGTATGTGCAAGTGTCAGGAAATGCTGATCTGGCGGCAGGGCTACAGAGAGCCAGCAATCAGCACCGCAGAGCGGACCAGAGTCCAGACTCGCGGGTCGGCCTCGCTGGGGAGTCAGACAGAACATCGTCTCCTGATCTGTCAATTCCCTGACAGCAAAATTCCACAACAGGCTGCGCTGAGGGCCCACAAAGACCACGAAAACAGCAGGCTTCACACAAAAGTGACTCAAAAATGCTGCTGACTGATGCCAAGTGTTACTCACTCTGCACGAGCAAACATACCTTATTTCTTTCTAAATCCGACGGCTGAAGAGCTCCATTCTCAAGACTCTTTGGATCTTTCTCCCGGATCGTGAAGATCCAGTCCCCTGAGTCGCTGCCTCCGGATGCTTGGCCATCTGTGTCCGTTTCCCTTAACACAGAAATGCAGGTGACCCCGTGAGTGAGGGCCACCAGCTCCGTGGGGAGGCTGCGTGGGGAGACCCCCCCCCCC